GGTATTTGGCAGACTGAAACCTGCGTTATCCACTGCCCCAGTATTAGCCACACCTAATTACGCAAACTTATCCAAGGTAGCTGTTGATGTGAGTGATGTGGGTGTCAGTGCTGTACTCTTATAAGAAGACAATGAGAAGATAGAAAGATCTATCGGATATTTGTTCATGAAATTGAATATTCACCAACAGAAATATTCAACGATTGACAAGGAGATCTTGAGCTTGGTGTTGGTGTTACAACATCTCAACATTTATCTTGCCAGTAATGTGAATGAGACAATTGTATACACTAATCATAACCCACAAAAGTTTTTGGAGAAATTTAAGGACAAAAAATCCAGACTGTTTAGATAGAGCTTATTACTGCAGCCATCCAATTTGAAAATTAAAGATGTGGCAGGACAGGAAAACATAATTGCCAACTGGGATGAAGACATTCGGTGGCAGGAGTAAATGGACTGAAATAGAATGTAGTAGTGATTGTTTGCATGCTTAGAGTCAATGTAGTGTATATGTATTGCAGTGTACTAATAGAATAAGACTGAGGAATTTAAAATGAAGGCATCCTTGTAAATTGATGGTTCATTTTTTAAAGGGGGAGATCTGTGATGATGCTGTCACTTTAGAAAGCTTATTTTGTCCTTGATGTTTTTTTAAAGAGAGATTGTAAAGGCAGAGTTACCAAAGAGTCTAGCGCGTAACAATTTAACAATGGAAGGAGAGTGGCCAGTTCTCCCAGTTCAGGGATTTCTAGTTTCTTTAGCTGTAGCAGTCACAAGTACCAGAAGTGTTGCAAGATTCAGGAAAGGATTCCTCTGACTTTCTCTACAATCTCTCTCTGGATGTTGTTCCCTCCTGCCTGTAAGAATCTGTGTTTGAACTTACCATTTTGCCAAGAGGTGTGTTTATTGGATGTTACTACTTTGGAACAGTTAATTAGTTAAGTTGCTGTATCGGGTCGGTTAGGTTTTCCAATTCCACTAAATTACTCTAAATTCCACATTCTTTTGTTCATGCTTCAACAGTAGTGTTTAAATAAATTTATTTTTGCTTAAAGCTGAGTGGTTTGAGCAGTTGTATCACACCTGGAACACCAACTCCACGTCTGCCTTTAAAATAAGAAAAAGTTAGGGTCTAGGCCTACCCTCTTAAAATGTTTTGAGGGTGTCTGGCCTGGTCCACAACAGATCTGTAACAGACATATTCAAAAGTCTGACCAGAGTCAAGTAAGATGAGATAGCCCTCATATTATTTTCAACGTACCCGACAATGGCTATTCACCCTAAAGATCTACTGCCTTCTGGCATCAGTATTAAATCCTGTCAAAGTGGAAAACTCTCTAACCCAAGTTACCTCAGTGCCAAAACTGACTACCATAGATATACGTGATCTACAGTTTACTGTGCTATTGCCCACTCCAAGCCACATTTACAAGCCACTTTCAATCTCTTCAAGTCTGCATTCAAGAAACTCCGCCTGTTCTTGTTGCAGGAAAAGAACTCTGGAATATGTTGTGCACTTCCATATCTTAGCAATGACCTCCCTCAAAAGGCCACGACTGATGAGGAGATCCAATACTGGATCAGTTGCGCGAGCTCAGTCTTCTACAAATGATGGTTGCAAATGACAGCAAAGACTCCCAAAAATTGACAAAAAGTGTTACAGTTCAAAGCAATTATAATCACCGCACTTCTGCACTGTGGTGAAACCTAGACTGTACTTCAGTAACACAGGAGTAATGCCTCCCCTCATCCTCTGGATTCGATTTGGATTACCATCAAGCAAATTCCAATGTCCTTCTTGAACTCAGTTCCACAAGCATTCATGCAAAATTCCTGCAAGATCAGCTTTGATGACTGAACAGTGTCCAGCTGGTTGCAAAGAGTCTCCCCTAAAAGGTTTTGTTTTCTGTACTCTGAAATGGCGGAGATTCAGGACTCAGAGTGACTGTCACCCTTAAACTGAGGAATAGCTGACGATCCCATAGCACCCTCCAAGAAAAGCAATATCAAGGTTAAAATTTTCCTTCAGCAGATTACTGATCATTAATTTCATTGTCAGATTGATCATGTTTAAAATATGTCACTGCATGCTTTTTGCTGATGGTCCTGGAAACATTTTAGAGCACTACAAGAAAGTAAATCACTTCAAAAATCTTCTGTTTTACCAAACATCTCCAGTACACCTTCCTGCTTTGCATCACTGTTTACCATCCACACTGTTATTGGTGACAGGAGGAATACCACAGTCATACTGTTAAGTGAGAGTATTGCACCAATGAAAATGGAAACATTTTGATCTGTAATCTAAACTTCCAGTTATTTTTCATAAGAGATGTAATTCAGCACCTCACAGATTATGCAAACTTCTTTAGAATAGTTCTCCTACTTTTAGTCAGTAGGCTCTCTAGTAACTCACCCAGTTTCTGTCATTTGTATGTGAACCTAGACAAGCATGTGTTGACAGACTTAACCAAGCTGAATCGTGTTCTCATTCATTATTCACTTAAGCGGTAATACTGTGGATGTGGGAAATCCAAAAATACTCAGCAGATCTCGCAGCATCTGTGGAAAGTTTTCTAAGAGACAAAATGTAAGCTTGAATCATGAGGTTTGCTTTAAAAATCATCCTTCATAATGTAGGTATACCAAAATTTGTTATAGAATCCCACTGCTTAAATTAGCCAACTTGGCAACTATTTTGCACGATTTTGTAACACACCACAAGTGAATTTATCTAGTAGACTATTGGCAAGCTTGATTACACATTTTATTTTTAAAGTTCCAGCTTTCTTTCAGAAACCCTGAATTTAAAACAATGTTGAGGAAGCAATAATTATTAAAACAGGATTTATAATCATATTGGATGTAACTAGAGAATGGTACATTGGGACAGAGTTTCCACTTGAAGATGTGGTTAGCAATCTTTTATGAATTGCACTCATTTTCTGACTTTTTTTAGCTCATGTTTTCACTCAAACTTATTCTATATAGTCAAATACGTAGTCAATCATATAGTTTCTTGAAAATGGAGTTGTAGGCAGACATAGTGCTGAAGTAGACATTTGGTACGATGGTCAGAAGATTGAGCATAGGAGTTAGGACACCATATTGCGGCTGTTCAGGACAATTGTGAGGCCGTTTTAGAATACAGCATACAATTCTGGTTGCCCTTCTATAGGAAGGTTTAACAACACTTGAGAGGGTGTAGAAAAGATTTACAAGGTTATTGTCAAGACTGGAGGGTTTGAGTTATAGGGAGATGCTGAATAGGCTGGGACTTATTTTCCTGGAGGATCAGAGGCTGAGGGGGACCTTGTAGAAGTTTTAAAAAATCATGGGGGCATGAATAAGGTGAATAGCCAGGGCTTTTTTCCTAGGGTAAGGCAGTCCCAAAGCTAGAAGGCATAGATTTAAGGTGAGAGGGAAAAGATTTAAAAGGGACCTGAGGGGTAACTTTTTCACGCTGAGGGTGGTGCATGTATGGACCAAGCAGCCTGAGGAAGTGGTGGAGGCAGGTACAATTACAATATTTAAAAGGCATCTGGATAGGTATATGAATAGGAAGGGTTTGGAGGGACATAGGCCAAATAGGATGTCTGGTGGGCACAGACAAGTTGGACAGATGGGCCTGTTTCATAGTTTGTATGACTCATGACTCTAAATATGAAATTCTTTCTCAATCACAGCAATCAGAAACTGTTTTAAACATTTTTCTGCATTGAAAAAACTCAATATATTTGAGAATGGCATCCTAGTTTCAGGTTTATTAACACAGTCGAGGAAGGTTGTATCACAAAGTATAGGCAAAAAGTGTCTGGTGTGCTGGTTGTAGGAATCCTGACTTAGAAAAAATCTGAAAACAACAAAAATTATGGTTGTTGGTGTACTTTTTATCAATTTCTTTGTAAATTAAACATACATTACAACTCTAAAAGCTTAATTTCGGTCTTAAAAATCAATTTTAAGGGCTTCCTCAAATATTTATAAATAGTTACATTTAGCAGGAGTTTGCCTTGGTGGTCAATTTAGAACGAGGCCATTTTTGTGGGCAGTGCTGATTTTCAATGCGATGCTTTTTGAACTAGCCCACAGAAATTTGATTTAAACTGTACACATCTTGCATTTGAAATTTATTCATAATTTGTGCTGGTTTGGCAATTTTTGTACAAATTGGCTGGAGAAACCAGCATAATGTTACAGAAATTCTACTGCATGGTGTCTTGTTATTTATTTTGTCAAATGATAACTATTGTACAACAATTACAGAACTGAATATGCTCCCACCCCATTCTTTACAGGAGTTGTGCGGACTCTGCCTCTGCATGAACAAGTCTGTCATGACAGCCTTCCTGCCCAAATGCTAATTCAGACCTGAGCCACATCCCCTCGTCACTGGTTTTGAACAGATGAGTCATGAAGTAGAACAAAGCCTGCAGGTTCCCAAAGTGGTATGAACTCTTGGTCAAAGGAGTTCAGGTGCCTGATCTAGGGATCAGATCAGGAAATGGGGTTAGGAAAGCCACAGAGTGTCTTTGACATTCCTGCCCATGATCCTAGATGCTAGATCTTGGATCTTTGGGGTGTGCAGCAGCCACCACTCCGAGGGTTTGTGTCAAGCTGCCACCCTTTTATTGGTCAGCAGCTCTCGGGCAAGGCAGTATTTCCATCCTTGGTGATCCTTAATCCCAGCAAAAACTCAATGCTGGCGATCCAGTAGGCCTTCAATAACAGTCAAAGGAGACCAAGCTTAACTCCTCCTGGTTCTCCAACTGGATGGTGTGGGCAAGACTGATATTGTAAACATTTAATTCCAAATGTGGTATTTATTCATGTGTTTTTCAAGTCCCTTTGCAATAAACCCAAATGCACACAGGGAGAGCAAACTTTATTTTATTAAATCATGCACATCACGTATGTTAGTGCAAATACTTTAATTTGTAGTCCAGAAATTCTACTGTACTTCCAACCATTTTTACAAAATAGATTTAAAACAATTATTTTACTTTAAAAAATTTATTTCTGTAATTCAGCATATCAGAACAATATTTGCAAACAACCTATGTACAGGAGGTACCAAGGACCATTAGCATGTGTGTGTAGCTAGGGTGGAATATCATAGCTTATTGGCCATTCAAACAAATGCTCAGGTTGACAGACTTTAAAACAGATTTGTTTTCATATAAACAAGTGTTTCTTTTCCCCACAACCTTGTGTTTAAACAAAAAAATTCCAGAATGAACGGGACATCTAACAAAACCCAACATTCACCCTCAACGCATTTTAAGATAACTTATGTAGCAGATTTCTCAATACATTCTTGAACATCTATTTCTATTGTCAAGGATATTTTAAACCAGCTGTAATTTTAAAGGTTTTTTTAAAATTTGACTACGGAATCTTGAACCAATATATGCAATTATACAGTACAACTTCAACATATCATACTGTGGTTGAAAATGTATAAATTGAATTACTTTTAAAATAAGGCAATACCCAACTCATTTGGCTAAAAAGGTGTCATGATAAAATTAAGGTGATGATCCATTTTTTCCTCTAAGTCACTTCGAAACAAAGTGCTTGCTGGTGTGACTCCTATAATGAGTATGACAGCTGTCTGAAAGACAGATGAATGACTGTCCTGGGAATGTAGTGATTAAGGCAGTAGCATTTGACTGCTTTATGGTTTGCAGATTTGAGTCCCAGATAGTCTATACTGTAAGCAAATGCTTACCACTGTGCATCAGAAATATTTCAGTCAGCCTCTTACATAGGTATCCCCATTACTAGGGAAAACATATAAACATTTAGTCTTTTTATAACCAACTGATGCACACTTTCCACCAACTGATATACAGAGAAGTGTGGATTTGATTGCTATTTTAGGGATTTGTGGTCCACTTACCTTTGCAGGTGAAACACTGATTGAGATGGGTGCCCATAAAAAGTCAGCAAAAGGAAGAAACATTTAAAATGTGTTTATTATGCACACATGACTCAAGTTTACTGCTGTTTCTTTAATAAAAAGTACACTCCGAGATTTAAAAAATTGTTGGGAGAAGTTAAAATCCAGTGAAATTCAGGTGTAGTCTCCCAACCCTGCGATAGCATAACACTTACATTTTAAATGTGATTGCTGTTTAAATGACCTATCACCTCTTGTATGTGGATCAAACTGACTGTAGATGAACTATTTAATTCTGTTAGCATTGGTCTTCTGGCATAAGTGCATCAGTTGGTGGAATTGCATCACTATTATCAAAAGATACCGTAGAACTCAGAAGTGAAACTAAATTAACTTCAATGTTTTTAATATTTTGGTACCAAGAAGCCTAGTTTAGGCCACTATATTTCTTTACATAATTCCAAAGTACTGATTTTTTTTTTTAAAAAGGAAAAATGCAAACAAAACATCATCTAGAGTAGAATCCAGTCACAAATTTTTATTCCCTCTATATACAATTACATATTATACAGTTCAAGCAAAAATCCTACTGTCGTACTCTGAAACAGCTGTGTTTTTGTTGGAGGTAAAGAGGAAGGAAACAGATCTGCTTGTTCCCTGTAGTAAAAGAAAGCCAATGTCAAAGGGGAGGACATTCTGTAGTTTGAGAGATATCTCGCAGTTTCATGGTGAGGCTCTATTCAATGCTGGGTATAACACTACCACTGTCACAGCAACCAGCATGGCCATCACTGGCATCCACTTGAACAATCCACCCTGAAAAGTTTTATTGAAGAGTCAAGTTAATAGTTTATGGGCTATTGTCATCTGAAAATACAGACAAGCAGTTTGGGGCAAAATGAATTTTAAGTGCAGAATTGCTATATTTAACATTACGTCCCTACAAATCTCTGATCACATATGGAGACCAAATACTTATCAGAACGGTGCTTAATGCAAAATAAATCTCCAGTGACAATATTGCAAACAATGAAGAACTGCTAATGTATCCATGATTACTTAATTGTACTTCTATAGTTTTTCAAAAGTTTGAAAAAATTAATTGGGGTAATTACAGTCCACTGCAGTAAATAAGCTTTTTTCTTCCACTATCTTGTAAGTTAAAATTAATTAAATGAATATGGATTACAAAAAGAGAGCTAAACGTAAATATAGAAGTTTATATCACAAAGTACTTAATTAAATGTTACCCCAATCTGCTGTATTATTATGACATGTAAGCACAAATACTAGAAAATTATTTAGTGTTAGGTAGACAATAAGCATGCTAGACTGGCATGATTGTGATGGTGCAGCAAAACATAGCAAAATAGGTATTGAAGCAGTTTTTTAAAAAACAACACGGAAGCAAAGAAAAAATAAATACGTGCTTCAAAACGTAGTTAATATCGGTAGTAGAAAACTTTGCAACATAGGTTAGCAAATTAAAATTGCATTAAGGCTGTTCATGCATTTTGTGAAGAAGGGATACAAGTAGCAGAGGAACACACAGACATAAATTGTAGCTGTGTACCTTTATCTACCATAGGTGATCGGACCACCAGTACAGGAAAGCCAGGATTAGGGCGACGCCTAGAGCAGGGATGGGTTGCAATATTGTGGAAGGCTGAGGGAGGTAAGGGATATTCACAGTCACTGTGTGCAAAGCACCAGAATGCACAGTGCAGATTTTCAGGGAATATATTGGTGGGACACAAATGTAAGCGTGCCAAAGTTTAGTACAGAGGAAAAATAACAGCTCTAAAATAGATCTGACAATTTGTCTGCAAAGTGCTGTCTTGCAAAACATTTTACATATTTGTGGGGAGATTAGGCCCAGGCTAGCCATCTTACTAGCAGAGAAGAAAATGTATTAAGTTCTTGAGAAAACACAAATGTGAGCCCTTATTTTGCTGAAGTCAGATACTTATTACCTGGTTAAGCACGTCTTCTGACAAGTACTTTTAAGCATTATAGTCAGAAAAATATATGGAAAAGGATATTCATGCTGGACAATTCTGTATAAACTGAAGACTGAATAATTGTGAATTATTCAATTACTTCGTTACCTTACAGATCATGGCTTTAAATACCAAGCGAGTGATGGCTTAATTATTTAAATCTCATGTAAAAGATAAAGGAAAGTTATCCTAACTGATTCTCTGCAATTGTATAACTGTGCTCTCCACAAGAGTGACTATTTCAAAAATACTTCATTGACTGTAAAGCACTTTGATAAATAATAGTATAAAGGAAAGTCTAGCAATTAAGATTGCTAGAAACCACAATCAGGTAACAATGATCTAATCAGAGCCTGCTTAAAGAAATATAACTTTGCCCATTTCTTTTAGGAAAGGTTATCACTCAATACAGAAGAAGGCTATTTGCTATTTTCAAGAAGAAGGTAGATATAGTTCTTGTGGCAAAAGAGATCAAGGGATAGGGTATTTAGCTCGATGATCAGCCACGATCATGATGAATTGTGGGGCAGGGTCATGGGGTTGAACGGCCTATGACTGCTCCTATCTTCAATGTTGCTATAAATACCTGTCAATTCAAATTACTACATGCCCTTTACAAATCATACATCTCTGACCCAGTGTAGTTTTATTCATTAACGGGTGCCCTTTGCTGGGCCAGCGTTTATTGTCCATTTTTATCTGCCCTTCTGAAGGTGCTGCTGAGTTGCTTTCTTGGACTGCTGCACTCCATTTGCTGTAGGTAGACCCACAAAACTACTGGGAAGGGAATTTGGATTCCCTGGATTTTGATCTATGACATTGTAAGTCACAGGTACATTTCCAACTTAGAATGATAAGTGGATTGGGAACTTGCAGGTGAAATTGTTACCATGTATCTGGTGCCCTTGTACTTCTAGATGATGGCGATCGTGGATTTGGAACATATTGTCCAAGAACCCTTGGCGAATTTCAGCAGTACATCTTATAGATGGTATACAATGCTGTAACTGAGTGTTGGTGGTGGAGGGGTGTGTGTGTGTGTCTGTGTGCGTGTGAGTGTAGTCAGGAGGTGACTTACTTGCTGCAAAATTCTTAGCCTCTAACTTGCTCATGCAAACAAGGACTTATATTGCCAGTTAGCTCAATTTCTAGTCAATGGTAACCCCAAGGATGCTGATGGTTGGGGATTCAGTGATGGTAATGCTATTGAATGTCAAGGGACTATAGTTAGATTCTCTCTTTTTGGAGATGGTCATTTCCCTGGCATTTATATGGCATGAATATTACTTGTATGGCAGCATAACCCTGGATATTGTTCAGGTTTTGCTGCATTTGAACATGGACTATTTCAGGACCTAAAGTATCATGAATGTGCAATTGGGCAATCTTGAGCGAACGATCCCACATTTGACATTATGATGAAGGGATGGCCATTGATGAAGCAGATGGTTGGGCTGAGGGTACTACATTGAGGAACTCCTGCAGAGTGGTCCCTGAGCCGAGATGACTGATCTCCAACAACCACAACCATCTTCCTTGTGTACTGTAACCAGTGGTAATATTTCCCTGATTCCCACTGATTTGATGCCATACTCATAGGGCTTGGCTAGGGGAGCTCCAGAACTTGCCGCTCCCCTGGCCAAGCTGTTCTGGTACAGTTACAACACTGGCATCTACCCGACAATGTGGAAAATTGCCCAAGTATGTCCTTGCTGGATAAATCCAATCTTGCCATATACCGCCCCATCAGTCTACAGTCAATCATCAATACAGTGATGGGAGGTGTCATCAACAGTGCTATCAAGCAGTACCTGCTCAGTGGTACCAGTTTGGGGTCCGCCAGAGCTACTCAGGCCCTGACCTCATTACAGCTTTGGTTCAAACATGGATAAAAAAAACTGATCTCCAGAGGTGAGGCGAGAGTGACAGCCCTTGACATCAAGGCTGCATTTGACCGAGTGTGGCATCGAGGAGTCCTATCAAAACTGGAATCAATGGGTATTAGAGGGCAAACTCTCTGGTGGTTCCAGTCATACCTGACACAGAGGAAGATGGTTGTGATTGTTGGAGGTCAGTCATCTCAGCTCCTAGACATCTCTACAGGAGTTCCTCAGGGTACTGTCCTAGGTCCAACCATCTTCAGCTGCTTCAACAATGACCTTCCCTCCATCATAAGGTCAGGAATGGGGATGATCGCACAACGTTCAGCACTATTTGCGACTCCTCAGAGACTGAAGCAGGCTGGTTCCAAATGCAACAAGATCTGGACAATATCCAGACTTGGGCTGACAAATGCTAGGCTATGACCATCACCAACAAGAGACAACCTAACCACCACCCCTTGACGTTCAATGGTGTTACCATCACTGAATCCCCCACTATCAACATCCTGGGAGTTATTATTGATCAGAAACTCAACTGGACTCACCACATAAACGCAGTGGCTACAAGAGCAGATCAAAGGCTAGGAATACTGCAGCGAGTAACTCATCTCCTGACTCCCCAAAGCCTGTCCACCACCTATAAGACACAAGAAAGGAGTATGATGAAATACTCCCCAACTGGATGAGTGCAGCCCCACTAACACTCAAGAAGCCTGACACCATCAGGCAAAGCAACCTGCTTGACTGGCACTACATCCACAAGCATCCACTCCTTCCACCACCTGATGCTCAGTAGCCACAATGTGTACTATCTACAAGACGCACTACAAAAATTCACCAAAGATTCTCAGACAGCACCTTCCAAACCCACAACCACTTCCACCCAGAATGACAAGGGCAGCAGATACGTGGGAACACCACCACCTTCAAGTTCCCTTCTAAGCCAATCATCACCCTGAAATGGAAATATATCGTCGTTCCTTCGCTATTGCTGGGTCAAAATCCTGGAAATCTCTTCATAATGGCATTGTGGGTCAACCCACAGCAGGTGGACTGCAGCGGTTCAAGAAGGCAGCTCACCACCACCTTCAATGGCAACTAGGGAGGGGGCAATAAACATTGGCATGCAAAATGAATAAAAAAAGTCAAGAGCAGTCACTCTTATCTCACCTCATGTCACCATCAGCTCTTTTGCACATGTTTGAGCTAAGCCTGTAATGAGATGGGGAGCTGAGTACCCCTTGTGGAACCCAAACTGTGTGCCAGTGACCAGGTTATTGTTAAGCAAGTGCTGCTTGATAACACTGTTGATAACACCTCACACCATTTTATTGCTGATTGCAAGTAGACTGATGGAGTAGTAATAGGTTGGATTGGATTTGCCCTGTTTTATTAGTACAGGGCTTACCTCAGCAGTTTTCCACATTGTTGAGTAGATACTGTGTGTTATATAGCTGCACTGGTGGATAACTTGAGAGAAGACAAAATAGCTCTAAAACCCAGCAAGAGCAGGGAGAAGCATAAAAGATGAGGTACTACTGAATGAAATGGCAGTAACTCACGTTGGGTCCACTGACAACATCATCCAATCCCATGATTGCTACTATCTAAAAAGTTAAGGGCAGCAGATTCATGAGAACACCGCAACCTGAAGTTCCGCTCTAAGCCACACTTCATTCTGATTTGAAACTATATTGTCATTCCTTCAATGTTGCTAGGCTAAAATTCTGGAATTGTCACCCTAACAGCATCCTGGGTGAACCTGCATCCCAAAGACTGCAACAGTTCAAGAATGCAGCCCATCATCACCTTTTCAAGGGCAACTAGGGATAGACAATAAATACTTATTAACTAGTGACAACCACATCTCATGAATGAATAACAACAGTCAATCATGGATCCATCTCAGGCCAGGAGTCAGCTAAATTGATAACTTCGTTCAGGAGGGAAATCTAATGCCAGGAGCCTGTAGCTAAACCCTCAGGGAAAGTCTCAGTGATCAAGAGTGGGGAGGTGGTGGGTAGGGAACCGAGGTCAAAGGGTGGCTGTAGTGCTGGAGAAGAGTGCAGGTAGAGAAGACGTGGTGAGGGGAGGTCATGGGGACGACTGTTCACGTGCAGGTGAGATGAACGAGTCCATAATCAGCAGCGGAAAGTTGAAGTTTTTCTTGAGCGGCTAGGGGAGCACTTGGTTCACTTTTACATTCCTCTCTCACTGGGAAATCCTTGCAATAATAAATGAGACTCCCAACTGAACTAACAAAGCCCTTTTTGAATATATAAATAACGTGTATTAGCTCTCCGCAGCAAGATGAGATGCCACAATGTCCACCAGTGTAAAACTGACAATGGACATGAACATAGTGTGTTGGTATTGTAGTTCACTCATTTAACTGGTTAACTCTCACCTCTAATGTCTGTTGCTGTGGCATTGTTGGGGTGTGTTTAATGGTTTAATCTCAATTTCACTAACAACCACCACTTTGCAGCAGAAAATTTCCTATTCTACCTAACACAACTGTGTAAAGATTTCTCTCCTAAAACTTCCTGCAATTCTTCCTTATTATCTTAAGACTTGTCGTTCACCCGTTTAAATCAAGTAACTGCTTATCACAATTTTAAAGACATGTACTGAATTAACCTTTACTATTTTCAGAACAATTGCAAAGCCACAACATTTCAACTATCTTCATAACTAACATTTTATCTCTGATTAACACTTATCTCCAGTAATAACACTGCAGATTTATACTGTGCCTTTGCCAAACCTTCTTTGTTGTATGTCCCAAGTCCATAATCTAAGTTGAAAATTGAGATGAGCACAGGAGTGCTACACTGTACGAATCCATAAAGCGTAAAGTATGCATGAGATGAGACCAGTGAAGTCAATGTAAAGCAGTACAAGAGGAAAGCAGTGAACCTAGAGTGAAGCAGCATGAGGGGAGAACAGTTAACATAGTGTGAAACAATGCCTGATGGCAGATCCTGAACCCAAAACGTTAACTTGGATTTCTCTCCACAGATGCTGCCGGACCTGCTGAGACTTTCCAGCATCTGCAGTTCTTTCGATTTTTATTCAGTATAAAGCAATGCAAGAAGGAAGCAGTGAACTCAGTATAAAGCAGTGGAAGAATGGAGTAGTGAATCCACTATAAAGCAGTGTGAGGGGAGAGTAATGAATCCAGTATAAAACAGTGTGAGCAGAGTGGTGAAGCCAGTATAAAGCAGGAACAAAAATAATGTTGCTGGAAAAGCTCAGCAGGTCTGGCAGCATCTGTATAAAGCACTGTGAGCAGAGCGGTGAAGTCAGTATAAAGCAGTGTGAGGAGAGCGGTGAACTTACTATAAAGCAGTGTGAGCAGAATGGTGAACTCAGTATGAAGCAGTGTGAGCAGAGCGGTGAACTCAGTATGAAGCAGTGAGAGCAGAGCTGTGAACTCAGTATGAAGCAGTGCGCACAGTGAACCCCAACATAAAGCTGTGGGAGAGGAGACTAGTGAACTCAGCATGAAGCAGTGTAAAAGAGGAGCAATGAATCCAATATAAAGCAGTGCAAGATTGTGGTGAATCTGGTTTGAAGCAGTGGGAGAAAAAACCATCGAAACCAACATAAAACAGAGTGAAAGGTGAGCAGTGAACCTGGTATGAAGCAGTATGAATACGAATAGTGAACCTGCTGTACAGCAGCGCATGAGGAGAGGATTGAACCTGGCATAAAACAGCACGCGAATGAGGTGATTACAGGAAAGGAGAAGAAGAGAAAGAACCTCTTTGCTGCTTCTGCTTTTCTTAACTTGTTCGATCTCCAAAGGTTCAGTATAGTATAGCAACTAGTGTCAAGATTAGTAAAATATATAAAAACATGCTTACTTGATTCAATTGTAACTTCTGGCACATAATTCATTAGAACACAATAAAGATGGCAGAATGGGCAATATATTACAGCTGTAGCATATGGGAGTTTTCTGGATGCCAGTTTTAACTAAAGTAAACATGTCTGCAGTATGTTTTTGAAGTTTGAGAAGAGTTGGCTCAGAGTTTGACCTGCAGGCTGATCTACAGACATTGTAACACATCAGGGAGGATGATACATACCTGAATTCTTTGTACCAGGAGGAAACCGCATCTCTTAGGATTCAGTCACCTGACTTGATCAGTGTTCAGGCACAGGAGAGTGTGGTTGTAAGTGGAACAGATAAGAGGACCCAGAGAAAGTGCAGGATCCTCAGCCTATGAAATTTTCCAACATGCTCTTCAGTCTGTCTGGATGAGTGTGAGGGCTGCAGTCTGGATGAGCAAACTGGCCATTGCACCATGGCATAAGAAGCCATTCAAGTTGGGGAGCAAAATGGAATGTAGCGATAGTAGGAGACAGTACAATGACGGGAAGTACTGCAGAAAGTGTGACATGAACTGATGCAATGGCGTCACTTGAACCATGTTTCTAATCTGTATTGCATTCTTCGCAACTGACCTCAGGTTTTAGGGACTGCTGTTATCCTACCTACCAGTTGGCCCTCCTGGTTTAACAGGAGAGCGTAGACCAAGATTATCAAAA